TTAGCTGGGCATCCGGGGAACCGGAAATGTCGAACTCCTTCTCAGCTTGGAAGACCCTGCTGGAGGATAATCTCCGCTGTACTTCGCAGTTTGACATCCAGAGTCACCCCCGCGCCACGATGAGGAGGTAGACCATCACGGGGGATATGCGAGAATGTACCATAGAATTCGCGGATTAGGAGAAGGTGAACGGCGGACAGGACAATGGCAGCTCAGAGAGTACGGAAGAATACTCTTAGCTCGACGAGTGGTGCTTCTAGCCATATTTCACTCGCATAATCACGTCCGAAAAAGATGAGCAATCTCAGCTACAGGGATCCAAGGTTACATACGATTTTGAGCCTGTTGAATGCGGAATAGTACACCGGTAAAAACTGCTAGTGCTGTAATGGAAGTGCAATTTTAAGCTGCAATGACAGCTAGCCGTACCGGCAAAGGTATACCACTACACTGCAAAATTTATACTCTTTGCAAACCTTTCAAGTAAGGACATCAACATGATCTTCGCACTCGGTATATGTCTAGTAACGCGAATTTTGGTTATCATTATGGGCACATCTGCGGGGTCTATATTATTTCATATTGCAATTGTGTGCTAAATCCCAATAAATGTACACGCTTCACTTTGCTTTATAATTGTGAAAAGACAAGACAGAACTTCTAGATAATGAAGCTGCAAGCCAGAAATCTCTGAAGAAATGGATCAGAGGGAGTGTCTGTAGCTTCAAAATTTATTTACCAACTCTCGTGTCATCCATTCCATATACCATAAACCAACTGATAAAAACTTAAAATTTCCTTTTTCTTGAAAAGGTCAAAAGCTTACGAAAACAGCCTCATACCGTGTTATCAGAAAAAGCGCAATCTGCTAAAGGACTTGACACGACAGATGATGCTTAGTGTGCACTACGTCTTTGATTTCTTACCGTAGACTAAATCTGAAACACTGCTTTATTGGTGCATTTGCATTTTCAACTTATTTTATTGAATAGTCGAATGGGGTCATGTCTCATTGAATCTATGATCAACTTTAAAAATGTTGTTTTCTAACTGGAATGTATATGGTGTCAAAGTTCTTTCTAACTGGTTTTATTTGGAATTTATGATGGACCTAGATAAGAAGGAGATTTTGCAAAATTCAGGATCTCGCATTTATCTGAAGATTATGCTGGAATACTGAGTGTTGGTAATCGAGTATAACAGTTCTCCACGTTATATAGTTAAGAAATGAGTTGAGGAGAGTTTCGCACTGTTCATGTATCAAACAATTTATCTGGTGGTTTTATATAACATTCGCAAAAAAAGTTCTCTTAATTTATTCGAAACCATCACGCTTTTCCGCGAAGGGTGAAAGTTTGATCTTACCTCTCACGTCTTCTTGAAGGAGAAAGGTACATAAGCTTTCCGACCATAGAGCCCGTTCATACGAACACAAAATAAACAACCAACTTATCATGCACAGCAAAACAGTCATGTTTACTTATGTTTTGCACTTAAAACGATAATGATTGATAATCGCTCTTTGACTTTCTTAGGACAAGTGAACTAATTTGTTTTGTGACAGACAGAGAAACGCACACACACAGATAACTTTAAGTAATGACAATGATACCGGTCATAATTCACAGATTTTCTATAAAGATCCCGTATCTTCCATAAAAAAATTGAAATAACGCATTTTCTTCCCATTTTAGCATATTCCATTTTGGTTTCAGTCACTTCTAATCCAAGCTTTTGTGAGGCTAGTTTGTTTTCAAACGAATCGCCGCAGGTGCCTACAGCTAGTAAAATCTGTTGGACCTAATGCATAGTGCATTTGTTTATGGACGCATATCATGTCACAGATATTTGCCTATTGCTTGTGAAGTAGAGAAAGGCGATAAAGTAGATCAGATGTCGAGAACCAATTTTTTCCAACTTCTAATGATCATTTAATAGGACAGTAGTGGAAGTACAATTTCATAATTATTGTATTCCACTTACATGCGGGCTGCTAATACGACTTTATAAACATTTTTAGAGGCTGGTTAATTCATTAATAAGTACTTCGTGATTAAGGGAGGCTAGGCATGTTCTTCGGCACATAATACATAATTTGTAGACAGCATTTACATCCCTAGTGGGCGAGTTCAAAAGTTCTGTCGGGAATAATCTTCCATTTCTTTAATGTTACTTTCGCTTTTGAATAAATTAATACCAACTGTAGCTGATGAAGAACATCTTTTATTCTCTCTTTGAAGTATTTCAGCACAGATACTGGCCCGAAGTTGCACATGGCTCAAAGTATCTCATCAAATGAAACAGTTGCCGATGGTGATGAAGCTCCGAAAAAGTTATCTAAAGCTGAGAAAAAGGCTCTATACAAACCAGAATACGCGGAACCGCATGCCACGAGGAGAAAAGTTTTAAAGGTTTGACCCTATTCTGTCTTGAAATGTCTTTTAGATTTGTGTTTTTCTCATCCGTTGAGATTGTCTTGCGTCCAGCCTTACATCATGGTTTTAGGATGTATTCCTCAATGAAAAGAACGAAGTTCTGAAAGATGAGCTCATTCAATCAATTCTTTATGCAATTTACGAAAGCGATGACAACCCTTATGATAGCATGCTTCAACTTCACAAAATTTGTCCTGATTATGCTTCAGTTAAGCCAAAATCCCTTGCCGGTACGTCTTTTATCACTCACTTGGCTTTATGCTACTTAAAATTGCGTGGACTAGCTCATAATGTCCCTATTTCAAAAATGGTTAATCGTTTAAGGGACACCCCGCTGTCCCGTTCCCTTCCTCTTCGTTTCTTGATAAAATCAGCTTTTCCTCTCCCCTCTCTCCCTCCCATTTTGTAGATGCAAAGATAGACATCCGATGTGGAATTCGCGATGATTTATGATAGGATTCATGGCGCGAAATTAGCGGTTCATAGTAAGCGTAATGCACTAAAAAGTGGACCGCGGGGAGGATAGCCGCTCTGGGAGAATGTGGGGAGGGGAGGGTTAGTGCAGCGAGGCTTGCCATAGTGATCACCGACACGCGGATACATTGAAATCTTGTTCTTATTCAAATTAAAACATAGTTTTAGGTTTACGTTTCCAGGGCTGACGGTTACCTATCTACGATCTTGGATCTCCAAACTGGATGATCCGCTTGCTTTATTTGAAAGATGCGTTACTCAGGAGCTACAGGTTTTACAAATTCGGATTTTCAATACTTCGAGTCTTATGGAATTCTCTGCAGATTGATGCTTTTCGAATAGCTACAGCAAAGCATACAGGAAATCTTAAGCTATTCAAGGAAGTGTTTTGTCTTGACGACCCGTCTTTGCTTTCTTTCATTAGAGAAGAAATCCAGGTTCTTTTTTTTAGGAAAGCTCTACCTATCTTTTACAATCAAATTGCTGGTTGAGCGTTTTCAGGCCATGCTAGATCGCCATATGTTCAAAGAAGCTATGGATGTGGTGGAGGAGTTCCAGTTGCACAACAATTATACTCTAGATGTATTTATCATTCCATGCCTTCTCCAAGACAAATTGGGTGCTGTTGTAAAATTCATGGAATCTCACAGAGACATACAGGTAAGGGTATCTCCATACTTCACAAGGATCGGCCGATTTAGATCGGCCGATTCTTATAACGCTCATAAGCGCATTAACAATCGGCCGACGAGGGTGTGCTGCGGTTGCGTTGTTGAGTACCGATTTCGCGGGATCCG